TATATATATATATATATATATATATATATATATATATGGAAATTCCACTCATTTATATAACATATAAAGTTTATATGTAATTACTCAAATGTAAAAATATTGAGGTGGTTTTTTGATGGATTTATTGAGTTGTTGCTGGGAGCTTTGAGAGGTTGATAATATATAGGAGGATGGTTGTATAGAAGTTATATGTGATGGAATTTGAAAAGGTGGGTTTAATTTTTTGTTAAGGAGGGTTAATGGAGAGTTATGAAACTGATGAATAATTATGAGAAGTATCTGAAGAGGTGCATTAATGTGTAGATGTACATGTATGCATTTTATGTAGGTATGTAAATTTTTGTGAATTTAGTCACAAATCCTCAATAAAATTTATGTACAACAAAATAAAAGTTGGTTGAATTTTATCCGTCATGAAAAATTACAAAACCTCCTTCAAATCCATTATAAATAAACACGATGTTAATTATGGGTTTTTTAAAATTTCATTACATGCATCATGAACCAAAAACAGCTCCTACATGACAATCATAACAACCAAAAAATCTTTCTTTTTCATCATAATCCACCTTAACCAAGCATAAAATTTAACAAGAGTGAAGAAGAAAGAGTTTTTAACAAACAATACGTCAATCAACCATCAAATAACATTAAACGAGTTAAGACCTAAAATAACAAAATCCCCAAATTTCATCAAAAAAGATAACAATAATTGCACATCATTGCAATATCATTTGCGCTATAAAACCTTCAAACAAAAATAAAATAAATAAAAATACAATGATAATAATATTTGGGTGCAGCTGGGGTAGCTGGACTACTATACCGATAGTAGCAATAAGTTTCTACTATCATTTTTGTAGCTGTGGGATTGCCTCAAGATTTGTGCAAAAAGATTCAATTAAAAAAGATGTTTAATTTAATATTTTCCTTTCTTTTTTCTTCCTCTGTAATTATAGAAAGAAATAATTATATGGATCTCACAAAATAAAGAAACTCTTTTTCTCCCAAAGTTTGATCTATGATGGAACATTCCCCTTTCTCTCTCTCTCTCTCAAAATCGAACAACCGTCAATCCCAATTGTCTCTCTCTGTTTGTGAGGAACCAGTTCACATTAATGTAAAACAATGGGAAATCATAAAGAAATTGGGGCACTTCTCATAAGTAATCTGACGGCTAAAAAGGTGATAGTAGAAACATATTACTACTATTAATAGTAGTCGTGCTGTACTCATAATATTTTACTACATCCATAATCTGTAAGTATAAAAAGAAACAAACTTTTTGTAAGGAAAATACACATCTGGCGCACATAACAACAACACCAACAACCTAGCTACTGCGCTGAATGACATGACTTTGCCATGTGACCTACTGAGCTGTCCTGAAAAGAAATTTTACAAACTAGTTATAATAGACATCTATAATATCGTGTGATTATCGCACCATTCTAAGCCATAAAAGATGCAAGCATAATCATCTTCACTCAAACCTCTTTCTTACAGTATCCTATCCGACCTGATCGCTCCGTCCTTCGCAACTGATCACCTCCAGTGTCTCTGACTAGCTTCATCAATCCAAGCCTCTCGTTAAAGTTGTGACGCTGCATCTTGCTTTTAACATCACAAAAGCTCCCCAAGATACGCTTAGCTCGACGCAAGACCAGACACTTCTTATCTGGAAGTGGCATCCCCGTTAACAGCTTGATCGCGCACCCCACGTCGTACAGTCCATGGAAAGTAACCCACCTGATCCTGTGACGGTAAGGCAGAATTAACCCATGATAGAACAATCTAGAAAAAAAAGTGGAGCGCACGCCATTACGCTTATTTTCGTCGAAATTCATCCCACTATCTATCAAAAACTTGATGTCCTCGTGAGGGCCGACTGTAGGATCAAACTCCTTGAAGTTAACTTGCCATAAACCCTCAAACACGCCTTCGTCGCTGTAAAAACGTCAAGCCTAACTGAATTATCTTCAATTCATCTTCGTTCTTTTCCTTGTCGCTGTATACTATCTCCGTTGGCTATAAGAGAAGCAATCACTTCTCATAAAAATGTTAGAATCAATATAAAACTATAATATTCGATCATCAACAAAACTTTAAAATTTTCGTATAATGATAAGAGATATTTACTTTAAGAATAAAATACAAATATAATTTGGACTCAAATATACATGATTAAACTATATTTTTCCCATGTGTAACAAAAAGAGCAGTTTAGCTTAATCAATTTAGGAGCACATTATTATAAGATTTTTTTTATCTAATAAAGGCTTGTGGCTATCGATGGCTTCTTTTTTCGAGTGTTCTAAAATCTTAGACCCGTCAATTTACACACTTTTCTTTAAAATAGTGACAAAATCCTAAGTGCTCCCTCCACTACTTGGAACTTTTAATTATGGTATGGATGTATGGTTGACAATATTCGATATAATATCTTAAAGTCTTTAAGTCAACTTCTTGTTTCATTTGCTAAATACTTGTTTGATTGTACTCACTAGAGTTTAATTTTGTTTTGAACCCATTCTTTCCCGCTGAATTATTTTAAAATCGCTTTGCACACTATCCATACGGACCATACATTTAAAACACCTACCAAATTTAACCATAGTGTATATGAAAAATAAATCAATTTAATCGTTTATTTTTATCTTGATCTTTTGAAGTTCGGAATTTTTGTATTACTCATGCTTTTTCTATGGGCGAGCTTATGCTCCTATGTCAGTCTCTCTGAGTTTGGAGTTATACCTTCTAACCAATAAAACGAAGCTTCGGACCAAAAAAAATTAAGTCCCACGTTCCATCAATAATTTGAAATTATATGGACTTACAAGTAAATCATGATAAACCAATGGGTTTTAAAAAAAATCCCTCATAAATATAACCCTTTCGCCGTCATCCAATTATTCTTGCATCTTAACCCCTTTTAAACGCTTGACATTATTGCCCTTATCTACTCATTCCTCATCCAACTCTCCTTGATATGAAATTGTTTGGGCGTCTAAATAAATCATGATAAAGCAATGGGTTTTGAAATAAAAAAGCCCTCATTAATAAAACCCTTTCGCCACCATGACAATATTATTGTGTCTTAACCGCCTTTGAGCGCGTGACGTTATTGCCCTCAGTCACTCGCTACTCGTTCAACTCCCGTTAGTGGCATTTTCGTAATTTCTCAGACAAAGCGCCATAACTAAATCCAGTCCGAAGAGAGAAATCCCGCGGTTTCCCACTCGCTACAGATAATTTTCAACCCACCAACTTCTCCTCCAAAATAATAATAAAAATAAAAAACCCTAAAAAATCCCCAATAAACCTCGAACCCCATCAAGATCGATCAAATTCAACCAAGATGGGCCACGGGAGCTCAAGGTACACCGCCGATCAAGAGATCCAAGACCCAAAACCCTCTCGCCGGGCTCGAATTCGGAGGCGGCTGAGGCTGCACCGGCGCAAATCCGATCCGAACAAGTTCACCACCTTCGCAGCCGCGGATTTCGCCGGAATTGTACGAATAGAGATCGTGAAGGTATGGTTTTTTTTAACCAAATTTTTAATTTTTTTAGGGTTTTGGAGGGTGGAGGATTGTGTGTTAGTGGTTCTTTTTTGTTGTAGGCGGAGATGAAGTTTAAGGATCGGTGGCTGGCTTGCTTGTCGCTTGGGGAGCGGACGTATCGGACCGAAATTTCGGAATGGTTAAGTAATTGAACCCTACATTTAATTGAAATGACCTGCTTCTCTGTTTGTTCTGCACAATTTTGGAAATTGAGGGGTTCTTTTTGAAAATTTCAATAAGCTGATGTTATTGATATTTCAATAGAAAAAAAAAAAACCCAAAATTTAAAGAAATATCATTGGTTTTTGTCATACTAGACCTTAACTCATTCTCAATAATATATATATTAGGTCCCAAATGTTTGTACAACTGACGTACACCCCCCAAATCAATTATTATTATTATTATTTAAATAATGGCCCTGGTTAGAATTAACTGTAGGTGGTCATTAATTCTCTTTGAAACAAGTCATTGATTTGGGTGCAAATTAGAAATATGAAGATTTGGGGGCCTAGTATAAAACATTAAGCAAGAGCTCAGGGTGTAAGATGACAAAAACTCAATACAATTTATCCATATTCTGCTTCTGTCTCTGATTTTCCTTATGAAGTCATTGAGAGACAACTAGGTTCTGGTATCTAATATTTCTTAATTAAGAAAACCATATTGGTGGAAGATTACATAGTAGAGTATCTTAGAGAAAATATGAACCTCAAGGTATGCTTATGACGCAAAATGCATTCAAAGGTGGAACAAACAAAGAATTTTTCAAAATGTAGGATTCAGATTAGCTAGTTGAATTGGTCCATATATATGCATGGGAATTAAAAATGTGAACCATTGACCATGGACTAAAGAATTTAAAATTCAATGTAAAAAATGTAATGTGTGTGGATTATGGGCAACTGCAGATAGAAACCATTCATTTTAGGTCACTTGTAGCCAATTACATTAAATCATTAGATCTTTACAGTATAAGCCTTACATCCTTCGCTGCCCAGAACTTTAAATTCTTTATCAGTCTTTCAGTTTGATATAGAAGTACATTGATAGAAAATGCTAAAAAAAGTCTCTTGAATCTCAATTTCCATCTCACTCAAGATCCATCATGAAAAACTTCACTGGATTATCACTTAGTAGAATGCCACTACAAAAGAGCATCTGCTAGGTGCTCTTCTAGTTGCCTTACTCCAGTACGTACCACTAAATCACTCTGGAGCGGACTTCAAGAATATCCCAAGGAAATGAGTAAATGAAAAGAAAATTGATGTATACTGTACATTTCATTTGCAGATAAAATTAAGAATGTTCCACATTTCCTTGTAGATTAACCTGTTCTTATGGGATATAATTGAGTAAAACATACTTTTATCTGCATGCATTTCTGTGTTATTTCTTCTATTCGAATTATCCTAGGAACAAGGATAATTCAACTCTTTAGCAGAAACCGTTTATAGAATAGTTAATGCCATATGTATTTTCATGTTTTCTTTTGCGTGAAATATTATCTTCATTAAATCAGCTTTATCATAATAATATCTGATTTGTTTTAGAAAATTTTCTAACATTTTCCTCTATTTTTTCTGTGATTCTACGTGAACAATGCTGCAGTACAGACAAGCCTGTTTGGAAATCGGTGAGTAAATTTATCTTTTATTATCTACGGATGCACCTTTGCGACTTGTAATTTTTTCATGTAGAAGTTAAATGATCAATAATGATAAGATAATACTATAGGTTCCTTCTCCATGAATATTAATCTTTTGTGATTGTTAATAGACTTTTTTTATCATATTCATAAGATGACAAAAATGTGGCAGTCCCGTGATTCCGAATATTTAATGTTACATGCATTGCTTGTCAGGGTCCATATCTACTCACAATTCACCATATGATGTTTGCTTTACAGATAGAACAAAGCAAAAATCTAAACTTTGGTCGTAAAAATTACCTGGCTGATGATTGTAATAACAGTTGAAGTTGATGCATGAGTTTTAGAAATTAAAATATCTACAGCTCTTTGTAGCCTCCTTATGAGCCTGTTGTAAAATCTAAGAGTTCTTTTTTCTCCCTATCCCGTGTTAGAAAAATGCCATTGTAGTACACTTCCTTACAATTATTTGCATCATAGGAAATTAATCCGATGAGCAAAAGACTATGCATACTTAATCCAGCCTGTCACCACCATGTCCTTTATCTGACACTGTGCAAGAAATTTTATGAAGTTACAGACCCCTATTTTTTTTTCTCTCTCCCTTTAAAGTTTATTATAATTCACTACGCCACCTTAATCTTGAGACTCCTGAATTTTAGCATTGACATTACTACAGGGAAAGGAAATTCCTTTGACTAGCTTAACATGGAAACTTGAACAGTTAATGGCTAGAACTTGTATTTTCAGACTAAACTCTAAACTGGAACATTTCCTAATCTATTAGTACTCAGTAACTAGGATGCTATGTATGCACCAGTCTTTAATGATTCAATAGATTTGTTCCATGTTCAAATATTACATTCTTTGTATGTGGTTAACAACTTTAACTTCTCATTTATACCCTTTTCAGGAAAAGAAAGTTGTACTGGAAAGCAATGGTCCTCATATGGCACGGATATCGGTGTTTGAGGTCAGTTTGTAGGAGATTGATAGGAACACTCAATATGCATCTTACCAGGTGCTCCAAAATATACTTATTTGTTGGAAGCTTGTCACCTTGCAGTATAGAAGGTTACTTGACATTTAAACAACAAGTGTTTATCTCCTATATTTTGTGGATAATTATGTATTTTGACATTTCACCTTTTTTCTTATATAATAATTTTTTTTCTTATATAATAATTTTTCACCACTATTTTTTGGAATATTTTCATTTTTTTGTTTCTTTGAAATGTTTCATAAATCCCATATCCTATCTCTTGTTTCATCTGTGAGTTAATCTGGTTGTTTTTGTAAATTCCATGTATGTTGCGTTCTTGACATCGATTTCCTGTATTTGGAATTCCACAATGATTTACAAGAACATGGTCCATCTATTTTTTTTTTTCATTTCATGATGTTGTTTGCATGTGCAGACAAATAGGCTATCTATTTTTTTCATTTCATGATGTCATTTGCATGTGCAGACAAATAGGCTATCTAAGAACAACTTGGTTGGGTATTGTGAAATCGATCTCATGGAAGTTCTCAGTCAAGTAAGTTTTTCCTATTGTTTTATATGCTACTTATTCTGCTCGAAAATATTTGAAATGCTAATACCTTGTCTTCCCATATTGTGGTCTTCATTGTTCTAGACACTCTTTATTCCGCAATTTCTCAATCTAATCGCTGAAGTCCCAAGATACCCTTAGAATATATAGGAATGATGCCTTCTTTTTTAAATATCCTGCATGTCTAAAGTCATCTCATGGATCATTCCACATACATCCACCTGTTTGCCTCCTTCTTTGTCATCATCTAGGAATTACTCGTATCCATCAGTTGATAGCAGTTTTTATTCTCTTGAAATGGTTGATGAACTTCCTGCTTTCTTCTCTTCCTTTTGTGTATATATGGTCTTTTTATCAGCATTTCTTCTGTTGCAGGATTCGGAGGATAACCTTGAGGTTATTAACTTGTTGGATGTATCTTCACCTAGCAAAACCGTTGGTAGTATATCAGTTATTTGTTATTTTGAGGTATACACTTTCTGTATTTGTCATCTGTGTATATTTCTTGTTGAGGATTTAATTATGAATGGTTCCGATTAACCATATGCTTCTGATTTTGCAGGATCCAATTGAAACAGAGAAGTACTTTTCCAGACGTCTCTTAGCTATAATGGTATCTCCTTTGACTTCAAGAATGCTTCAATTGAATTTTGGTTTCATATGCCCATAATATCTTGACCATCTGCTTCTGATAAGGCGAACAATTTTTAGTAATGCGGCACAATGTTCCTGGCTGTGAAGTGCAATGTTCACTGTTCAACCAGCGTAATATATGGATCAAATTTTTTTCCGGAACCCATCCCTGTACATCACTTGCAATTAAGGACAATCTAGAATTAGAGAAGGAAAAAGAAAAGACTACCATGAAGATATACATCTGGGCCAATAGTCACGCTCAAGAAAGAAAAAGGAGAGTCCGTTCTTGGACAACATCCCCAGGGGCAATGTTGGAGATGGCCTCAAAAATAGCAGAAACACAATATTTATCTTAAACATTAGATGATGCATGGCACCGACTGAGACAATGCAAATTAATTGTTATGAAGGCCTATAAAAGGAAAAAAAGAGTTCACGGAGTTGTTGGGGGTCCAGGGGCAGAGCCAGAACTTTCTTCCAGCTTAGGCACACAATCATATATTAATTAGAGCAATTTCTTTTATATTAATTAAACCAATTGTTTGATAGAGACTGCTTCTTAGTAAGTGAAGTAATAATTATGAAAGCATGAAATATATTAAAGTGCCATAAGATTAAGCATATACACAATTTAGAAAGTATATAGAAATTGGTAGTCTCAAATATATTGTAAATTGGCACATATAAAATTTTATATATCAGTTGTTAGAAAACAAGTTATGACAATCACAAGATGAGGACTGGAATAACAATAATATAAAAAATCATCGAATAATTTTACAACATCTTATTACATTTTTAAATGGTTGAGTAATAACCAATCATTGCAACAAATACAGACTAATAATTGGTTTTATCTCCAAGGGAAAGAAAAACAGGCACATGAGATTGGGCACCAACCTTTTTGCAAGCATCCTAGGGAGAAGCTTAGAGAATCCGGGTTCAAATTTGAGGTAGGGCATTTGCCCTACCTCATATGTATGTGGCTCTGCCTTGTTAGGGTCTACACTATCTCGATGATGTGCCTGCAGACAAGACAAACTGGCTTTACTGCAATGGAGGACAATCAAGGGAAGGAAAAGTCCATGGAGGGTCATTTGTATGAGGGGTTAGACCATGACAAACTTTGTTATGTGGTCAACAAAAGACATGAAGTCTGCTATTTTAAAGGAGGAAATAAAAAATTGATATCGATACAAAGAATGAATTCACGCTTAACTGACCTCTTGTATCCGCTGTTGGTTGCAGCTCAAACTCGGTTCCTATGTGCTGCAGCAGAGCACGACGCACTTTATGTCTTCCGCTAGCGCGGATGGGAACGTATCGTCAATATATCGATTTCTTTCATGCTATATTCACTCCGTTATTCGGATCGGATCCCTGTGATTGTCGCCCCTGCCTGTCAATTGAGTAGATCCGACAAGCTTGCATGCGAGGAAAGTGTACCTCCGGCAGTAAAGTCATAAGAATCATGCTTCAGAAACACTTAGATTGAGAATCACTGAACTGCATTATATACTTAGTATGATAATATTAGTTAAGTAATATTAAGTAATATATTAAGTAGGTAATTATCTATACTTGATGTGGGTCATAGTTTGGGTAGTCAGTATAATTGACTGATCGGTCGTATGTCATACCTACTATACTATGATGTATAGTCCGCATATAGCTATTAATATAATATATACGTATCTATACTAGTCTTAGCACTTACATTATCATAATATCATTTAGCTACTACATTAGTAATAATAGTACTATTAAGTACTAAGTATACGTATGCTTGTATAAGGTACTTGCTATGTATGATTGCTACTACTGACTACATATATAGCCCATATAGCTGATAATATTATTATCATAGCTGTAGTAGCTATCTTTAGATACACTAATACCCTAGCTACTATACTACTATTTTTATATGATATACCATATATATAGTTAATACATATATATAAGCTATATAATATATCATACTTATACTACTATAGTACGTAACCTATAATATATACTATATATATTACTATATAATATATAGCTACTATATAACCTATATACCTTACCTAGTAGGATATAGAGAGACGGAGGAGCCCAGAGAGAGAGAATTAATGGTATTCGCGTTGTGCTATCTACGTGGAGGGGATTTCCTCCTATGACACGCGCTGCTAAAATCACATGATTAGCGACATTGAGGTGGAAATGAAATAACGCGCTCCAGTTGAATGCTTGATGTAGATTATATATTGCTAAAACTACCGCAGCTAACCCACACCGGGATAGTTTGGGAGTGAACCCGGTGCATCCGTTTGAAACACCTTCACATCCAGCTCGCTAATCAGATTTTAACGGTTTTGAATGGCAAATAGAAGCTTTCACTCATGGCTCGATAAGAGGGGTCAACGATGGACGGTATGTGGCACCGCCCAAAACGACCATTGGGTGTGTCTGGGTTTTTAGACCATACTGTTTAGATCAGAAGTGGAGTTAACCAGGAGCCGGAATCCACAACTCCACAATGTCGCTCTAACCAGGTGCTATGCTGATTTTAGAGGCGTCCATAAGGGAGTAAACTCCCTCCTAATGTAGCATAAGGATAGGCCCATTATCTCATATAATATATAGTATACTATATACTATATATAGATATCATATATATATATATATATATATATACATATATAGTGAGGTAGGTCATGTAAGTATAATATATATGACATCTATAATATATCATATAGATATACATATATATATATATAAGTATTAGTAATATAATCACAATTGACCGGGACATAGCTATGTCCAGCAGCCTTTTCTATTTAAAGGTTAGGGCCGAAGCAAACAAAAAAAGAAAACAAAACGAAAAAACGCAAAAGAAAAAGAACGCCAGTGAGACTATCTAATATATATATATGATATAGTCCAAGTTGGACACCAGTCAAGCTGTGCAAGACCTTTGGCTAACTTGTTAAAGGTTAGCGCCATCGAGAGCATAATTCTAAAATAATATATAATTGTACTAGTATACTATATATAATATATATCATATATTATACTATAATATATATAATATACTATAATTAGTAGTATTATAATAGTGATCGCAATTGACTCCAGTAAGGCTGTCAGACCTTTCTATTTTAAAGGTTAGCCCATGAGACGATCTTAACTATCCAACCTGATGGCAAACTGGCAGCTTGACTTAGTCTCGATCGCAATGACTGGATGACTAACTGGTTGATTGGTCAATTGTCCAAAGCAAATTTAGCCAGTTAACTGGTCAAATCTATCTTGCTGCCAATTGTCGACTCTGCCCTTCTACCCTTAGCCTCCAACTAATGTGGCAATGTATCTGAGTCACATTTCAAAACACTTTTTCACCTTTCAAGCTGGCTGCAGCACTTCATGAAGATCTTAAGTTGAAAACTTCAGTTAATAATTATGTCCGTCACAGTTCTGTTACATAGGGCTGTGTCACCCTCCAACATCACAAACTGTGCTAAATTGGTTTTTTCTTTTGTGCCTAATCTCATTAATCTTTCCAAAGTTTTCAATTATCTCACACTGAGTGGCAAAAACAGGACAATAATGGAGATGGAAAGCTTACATTTTCCGAGTTTACTGACTTGATCAATGCATTTGGTAATCAAGTGGCAGCAGCAAAGGTGTTACCTGATATACAATTACATTCTTTGAATTTGATATCCAACATTCATAGTCCACACTATTGTTTGGATATTATAGTCATGCATCTTTCTCTATTATTAGAAAGAATATCTTTTCAAGAAAGCAGACGAGAATGGTGATGGTTTCGTCGATATTGATGAGTTGGCAACCCTTCTTGCAGTTCAACAAGAACAGTAATTTCCTAACCTGGATTTTTTAAGACAATCCTTTAGTTACTTTGGAACAACTATATTTCTCTTTTGCACTGCTTTTCTATTTCCTTAGTTTTCTCCCTGTTGCTACTTGGGTGACTTACCATAAATTTTCTGGGTGTACAGCGAGTCACTTATCAGTAACTGTCCTGTTTGTGGTGAGATTCTTGGGAAGTTTGATAAGATGAATGCTATAATTCATTTGACTTTATGTTTCGATGAGGGAACTGGAAATCAGGTGATGACAGGAGGATTTTTGACAGATAAACAGGCTTCTTATGGGTGAGGAAGTTACACTGATGCACAAACTACCAAATTGATGCTTTCATCCTCTGCTTACTAGTCTATTACCTTTAGGGGCTGTTTGGTTGATGTATTTGGCATTGGGGGTTGGGCAGAAAGCCTGCCAAAAGTGCTCTTTTGGCAGGCTTTCTGCCCAACCCCCAATGCCAAATACATCAACCAAACAGCCCCTTAGGGCTAGAGGTGCTTTTGCTCTTTCTACTCATACAAAATGGATTTTTTCTTTGGTGATATTCCAGGTGGATCCTAAAACTAAGTGAATGGACTCATTTCTCATCCTATGATGTTGGGCTGAAATATGGATCTAGTTCCTCACATATTTTGGTATGCTCTTTAGTCATGTCATAATCCAACTCATTAGTGGTATTGGTCCCTCATAATTGTCCGCTGAAATAGATGTCTGCTGGAAATTACTTTCTACAATTCTGTAGTACAACTTTAATATATATACTGGACTATTGCAGTAATATCTGTAATCTTTTCATTTACTTTCAACAAGAATCCTCAAGTTTCATGTCATATATTTCCTTTGAGTCTGAAGCTTGGTTCCCAGTAATCCAGGGAATCTTGTAATGAAAAGGGGCATTGACCAAATAAATTTTGAGGGACTACTTTCTTACTAACTAGGCGCGATTCGTTTGTTTTTTGTTTTTTCCCCTTTCTATGTTGAACTCTACCATGGTTAGAAACAGAATAAACTCTGAGCTTTAATTGAGCTGTGCATGTTTGTTCTTTTACAAGTGGTTTATGTTGAAATATTTAACTTGTATTTATTGCACTAGATTTTTGATCGAAGAACAAAGAGATTAGTTGAAGAAATCATAGATGGGAAAATTATTTTGTCCATGAGAGCTATTTACCAATCAAAAGTAGGGCTCACCCTAATCGATAAAGGTACGTATAACCTATTATCAATGTTTTTATTCCTTTGACTTCTCATGTGCTACTTAAAAATAATAATTCAAAATAGGGTATCGTTGGTACAGCTGTATACCCGCTTTCTGTTTATTCAAGTCAAAGATCATCAGGGAGCTGTTTTGCTCTGTGTATGATCATAAATTTCGTAGGCTCATACCTTTTATACTGGTTTAAATAGGGTTGGTTATGGATATATAAGCATACTTTGAAAAACCTCATAGTACTGACAGTAATGCTTGTGATCTGCATTCAACCTGATCTAGGCCTTCTCTGAGTCAATATAAGGTCAATAGTTGAAGTGAAAGAGATGCATTTTTGTAGATCCATGTGAAGCCTAGAAAACAGGAAAAGACTGCATATTTAAAATCTTTATTTAGATATATTATGGATGCATCTTGGTTTTTGCGATGGACTAGTTCTTTTTTTTTTTTTTGGTGTCTAGGGTCCAAAGATCTTCTAAAAAGCATTTCTGAGAAGCAAGGAAGGAAGATGAATTCACTTGAATCTGCTAAAGACATACCCAAGTTCATCGATTTCTTTAAGGTATGGACTTCATTCTAGTTGTGCCAATTGGTGACAATACCCATTATTTCTTCCATAGTCTGGTGAGCAAACTAGCAGACCAGTAAATTAAGATCCATACTCGTGTATGTGCTGGCTCCTCACATACTTTTGGTTAGGATTTTGAAGGGTACTTTTCGTGCTGCATGTTAATTGATTGTATACTCAATTATTCATGGTTGTTTGAAGGGTTTTCCATGCTGCATGTTAATTGAGTATATATTCATACTTATTTAAGAACAGACTATTAGTTGTTAACTTTTGTTTCTCCCTAGAGTTGTGTGCTATTTACACAAGCACTTAATTCTCCCAGTTGTTTCTGAATTTCAATTGATGTTATGCCATTTTAAAAAATTTAAATTGTTAAAAAAATTCTATATATGATATATCAGCTTGAAAACTAGTAAGAATGAATAATAATAATTTAGTCATGACCTTGTGAGGATTTGAAGAAGTTAATCCTTAAGTGGGAAAATGTCTAAAATTCTAAATATTGAGTACAGACTGAGGAAATGAGAATGAAATATAAATTATAATACACTCGTTTGTTTCTAAATGAATGGATCAGGCTACTATCCCTACCCTTAGATGTAGTTTGAAATTACTAGTTGAGATTCTGAACGTTTATGAGTACAGTGTGGTAAACAATCTCCCCACCTTCCAGTATAAGATCTCAATTTTTTTGTTGGGTTACATATTGTAATATATGTCGTATAATGAAATATGACATAATTATTCTTCCTTAGGATATTGAATTTTTATTTGTGCAGGATCAGATCAACCTGGATGAAATTAAATATCCGCTGGAACGCTTCAAGGTACTTATCTAAGCTTGGTTAGCAGTTAAACTGCCCATATCCCCCCTATGCAACAGATGCACCTCCAATCCACCCAACCCACAGCACGAACACCCCACAAAGCTTTCTTCATACTTTTTTAGTTTATACAACATATGAGTTGAAAACAAATTCTTGTCCATTTCCACACCTATTATTTCATTGCTTAAATTTTTGATGATTTTCCTTTTTGTTCAGATTCTTCTTTAACAATATAACTGGCAACCAAGCACCATTACTCTCAATAACAGAACTATTGTATATATCTCATATTTAATTTAAAATTTTTCGATCCAGTTGCATGGGATTATTAACGTAGCATTCTCCCATTTTTTTAAGATAGATTCAAAGTCAGTTTTTTATTGGTTTATTATGTTATAATGGCTCTGGGTTTAGCTTAAACTCTTCTGAAGGAGAGTTTTGTTGTGGAGAAGAAATAAGCAAACAATAGATAATGAACATTGGTGATGCAAATTTAGAAACATCTTTCCTTTTTAAAATATCTGTAACAGTGAGCAATCAAATCCCTTACATATAAAGCGTATTAAGTTGCTAACCATTTCACAATTTTCACCCCATTGAGATAGTTTGTCTGCAGGTGCCAAACATTACATTTGAAATTTGATGGATTCTTTATCATGAAGAACAGGGGTTTTTCCCGTAGAAACCACCTTAAAATAAGATAATTATACGGAAACCATCTTTCAATTTCAATATATACATAAACCACCTTTCAAGTAGGTTTTTGTTGCAATTAACCACCCCCTCAGTGAAATTTTCAGTCAAAAATAAAAAAATAATTAAAAAAATTAAGTTAAAGGTACGCGAGTTGTATCCTAACAAGACCTAAACACTAAAAAATGAGGCATATACCTTGAATGTGAGTTTTTTATGGGCCATTTTTAGGTTTTAGTGAAAAAATTGACTTGGAGGTGGTTGATCACAACAAAACTCACTTTAAATTTGGTTTATGTATAAATTGAAAGGAGATTTCCGTATAATTACCTATTTTAAGTTGGCTTCTAGGGAAAACCCCTAAAGAATATGGATTTATGCTTTTAGAATCACTAAAGGTTATGCATTGTATTCTTCAGGATGGCTGAGATGATAATTGTATATAAGTTTCTTGAACTAATAGCTACCTGTTGTTGCTGGCTTGAACCTTTAGCGACTTCAAAATGCTTGCGACATTTTTTGCAATTCTTTTCACACTGATGTTGTTTCTTTCTCCAACAGTATTAAACGGACTGCCATCTGTAATTTATAGTACTTGTACGAGACATTGATCTTTTTAACTATTATCTTTACTTGCAGACATTTAATGAATTTTTTATAAGAGAGTTGAAGCATGGTTCAAGGCCAATTGCATTCAAGGAGCGTGATGATATTGCTGTTTGCGCAGCGGATTGCCGTCTCACGGCATTCAAAACAGTTGATGATAGTATAAGGTTTTGGATCAAGGTAATCTCTTTGCTTCTACTTTAAGCAGTTTCGACTGTCTTTATCATCATCAACCAACTTGTCCATCATTTAGGATTGGTTATAGAGGAATATCTTAAAAATTTATGACTAGGAAATTAACTGTTAACCTGATACTAACTTCGTTGGTGGTAATTACCCGGCAAAGGAAACTACAGGAGAGATGGGGGCTTTCCGTGAAAATAGAGAGCCAGTTAGCAGGATGGAACCTATGTAGTTGCTCACACAATGTAAGCTCGTGCAACCTAGAAGTAGTACTCTGGACTTCTTCAAGAGTAAAATGGATGCAGAACAGGAATATAGCAACTGCATCACTCTGCAAGGCACCATCTATGCTAATTAAAGAATTGAATCAAATTCTAACACTGACAAACAGTAGGTGGCTGTCTGAACCTGCACTTTGACTAACAATAGGAGGAGGTTTGATATCTTCTTAAATTATGCTATAACTTTTCAAAAAACTTTCAAAATTCAGCTAGCGTTTCCTAAGCTCTACCCAAGCAACAAATATAATCAAACCCCTCAAAAAGCTTAACTTATGCCTCAACTGTTTGCAACTTGTGTTCCTTAACTCAGTGCCTACTGATGATAAAGTTTTAGCATGTATACAGTATGATGAATATGCGCGAGTTAAATACAGAATACTCGAGTAGTTATGGGATGGATCTTGATTCCTTGAGAGAATAATGCTCTAATGGTAAGAAGAAAAGTGAAAGCCAGTTCAGATAGAATCAGTAACAAATATATACATTGTTTGTGGCGAGAAATTTATTCTGGGTTTCGCTTTCAAAGGGACAACTATTGAAAATGCAAGCAGTGCCACAGGTATCTCGAACCAGCAAATTTGTGTGGAAATTTTTACATCACTTACTATTTTGAACAGTCAATGTTTGAAACTTCTTCTAGACTACATTAATCGACTCACTATTTTTAACAGTCAGACGTTCAAATTTTCTTCTAGAATACGTTCATATGGGACACTAAGATGTAAATATTCGGGTATATTGGTTCATAGAAAGTCAAGATCCAACTTTTTCTTTAAAACTAATTTTAATTTCTTCTCTTATCAGGGCCGCAAGTTTTCAATGCAAGGTCTTTTGGGGAAAGATATCTGCTCCAGTGAATTTAACCATGGATCTTTGGTGATTTTTCGACTGGCGCCACAGGTAAGGTTGATCTAAGATACCTCTAAACTCAAGTTTGCTGAGACCAGTTTGGTCATAAACAAAATTCTTGCACTTTGGATGTTTGCAGGATTACCATCGTTTCCATTCTCCAGTTTCTGGGGTTGTGGAATCCTTTGTGGAAATTCCAGGATCTTTGTACACTGTATGTTTTTAGCAATACAATAGATATGCCACTTGTCTATACATTTATAGCAAAGATGTCGGTCAATTCTTTGATCATTTGCTTATGCTTCAACTTGTAGGTTAATCCAATTGCTGTAAATAGCAAATATTGCAATGTTTTCACCGAGAATAAACGAGTTGTATCTGTCATTTCAACTTCAGAGTTTGGGAAGGTATAATTTTTTATATTATATTTATCCTTCCTACCTATAAAGCATGATTTGATATTTAGCCTTCCCACCTATTTACAACTGCTGTGCATGTTTTAAATTGGTACGTGATATGTTAAATAGTAATTGACCAAAGAATGCAGATTATTTTATAGAAACTATTGGATCTGTAATTCCTATGTTTCTTTTTTGGTGTTTGGTGCATCTTTTTCAGGCATATTATAATTTGTACACGTTCCTTTTTCTGCATTTCAACAGAATTTACAATTTGTTAATCACTAATGCAGGTAGCATTTGTTGCAATAGGAGCAACAATGGTAGGAAGCATCACGTTCACTAGAGAAAAGGGTGACTACATCCATAAAGGAGACGAGGTTCCTCTGTACTTCTACACTAATTTTCCGTACTATCTAACCTTTAGTTTTGGATGTTAGCTAATGGCCAACCTTTTCCTTTTTCATCAGTTTGGATATTTCTCGTTTGGGGGGAGCACTGTTATATGCGTATTTGAAAAGGTTTGTCTTTTTTCCTTTACCTATGCTCAAAACAAAAAGCTTCTTACGCCTTTTTATTGATGCTTTTCGTAGATAAGATCTGATTTTCCAGGAAAACTTCACTCACATATTACTAAACGTAAGGGTCATAGATCCATATAACTGGACAGTCAGAATTTAAGAGTTCAATATATTAAACAATGGATGCAGTTTCATGTGTAGAAACCCCAAAATAATACTTAAATGTCATACTTGTGAATGGAAATTTCATCTGACGTGTGTGGATACATACTGAAAGTGAGAATACCATAGGCAGCGTGCTTCTCATGTGATCATTCTTACAATGTTTTTCCTAAAAGCCGAAAAAACCACAAATTGCAGCCAACAGGAAATCCACGTTTTGGAAACATGTATTATAGAAGACTGGATTAGTTTTATACCATTGACTATGAAGGGGAAAAAACCCAAATTTCTTTTTTAACCAGAAAATCATTTTCCTTTTTATTAGAACTTAGATCCTAAATTCGTATCCATATTAGCGTATTGCTAATGAAAGCCTAAATGGATGTTGGGTAAAAATAGTTTTCATTTAACAGCATTAAACTGACAGGGAAGTTGCATAATTGGTTGTATATTAAGCATGAGAATCCACTTTGTTATTTATGTGGAAGACTCGACTTAATCTGATCATAGGATCAAAATGGATCACAAGGTCAACATCTGAATTTTGTTTCCATACACCGATTATATGATAACGCTAAACTTTGATCCCATCTCTAGATTGTGAAAATATTTGTAGGATCCATATAATAAGTCTAAATCCTAAAAGCACTAGTAGTTAAACGCTACATATAACTTAAAATGGAACTTGGATATTTAGGTGACACACTTATGATAGAAATGGTCATTGATTCGAGGTTCACCTATAAGGTGGATTAGCTTTCTTCAGTCTAGGTTATAGGTGAATTATAATTTTAATTAAAATTTTATTTTTAAAATCCTTTTGGATACTGTTGGCATTGACTCAAAGGTATTTGGTCACCTTTTGCAGGATGCAATTCAAATAGACGAGGATCTTATTTCAAACAGTGAAAGATCCCTCGAAACGCTAGTTTATGTAGGTATGAGATTGGGTGTAGTTTCGAAGAGGGCACAGGCCGTGAAAGATATATCAAGATTGGAGCAGTGCAAGCTGGAAGAATGACGCTGTGTACTGATTGGATGGATTTTTTTTTTTTTTTTGTATAAAATAAAACTTCATAAACATTTTTCTGCAATTCCCTCTGCAGAGTAGGGGGGTGCATATTAATGTATATTGTACCGATACAGCTAAGGAGGACGATGGGAATGCGATTATTTTAACCGTAGGTTTATGTATGAAGCTAATCTACTGTCGTAATTGTTAATAGAATTGCATAAACCGTTACTTAGTCCTGTTTGTTTTTGCTTTTCAATCTGTATTTTTTGTCACCATTTCGTTCTCACTTTGCATTTCTTACGCCGAGGAAATGTTCTCGTATATTCCACAGTGTAAAAATGTAAGCAGCATCCTCATGTTGGATCCTTCTAAATTTGCTTTTTATTTGGGGGGAGGGAAAATTGATTTTTTTTAAAGGCATTTCATAGTGTTCTTGACATTTATAAATGAACACTGTCAGAAGAATATTAATTAGAGAGGCGCTACAATCACACCTTAAACCACACTTCTCTCTCGTTACAGTGCACTGGGGCTCATATGATTTTTTTTTTTTTAATTCTCATGTTGGTCCTAGCTGTAGCGGAGAGGAGTGTGGTTGAGGGTGTGGTTAAAGGTTGTGCTTCTAGCATTTTCCTATTAATTAGATACCAAATCACTTTTTTGATGGTGATTGAGATTGATCAAGGTGACAAAGAGATAGTCATCAATCAAGAAAGAGGTACAGGTTAGCTACTTGAGTCATCTCAAGACCCCTCACAGTTGTCTTTCTTGACTTCTATAGAACGTCTTAGCAAGAAAAAAATAATATTTTATTTTTTTCAATCACAATTACTCATTTCTTTTTCAACGTCTATGACTCGTCTAAATATATATTAATACGGGAGTCTTTTTGAATTGTGATCCAAAAAATTAAGTACAAACTTCGCATTATGATCGAATCATAATCATCTATTAAATAATAAACAATCATAATTAAAAATGATTGATTGCATATAAACACCTGTAGTATGATGTTATATATCGCACTTGTTGCCCGTATAGGTTCAGTTTGGTGTGAAATTTTTTTTATTCTTTTATCCTAATTATTATTAAATTATTTTTACTTTCAGGGGTCAAAGAGTCAAAAATTTTCACTCACGGGTCTATCCGCCAAAACAAAACTACACAGATAGCAAGTTCAAAAACATCTTGCGATATGGTGTCCGTGTCCAATTAAACCTTAGGAAATAATTTGATATGTTTGGTCGATTATGCAATAATTGTGAATTGGATGTGACGTGAAAAGATGAGTGGGGGCCACATTTGTTCAGCGAAAATGATGTTTCCGCGTGAAAGGCCAAGTGTGGGAGGCTAAGGCGGTTTCAAGCGTGTGGGGTCCACACAAATGTCTTGGTGAACGAAAATATGGCCAGGCCCACCCGATTCTACTGTTCATATATATAATAATGATTCTTCCTAGGGTTGTGTGCGGAAGGAGGGTAGCAGTTTTGTTTGGGCGGCAGAGGCTGGAAGAAAAAAAGGGCAGCGTGCAAAAGTGAATTTTTGGGCGGCGTGTTATTCCGGTGACTGTTTCTTTTGAGAGAAAAACTGAGAGATATTTGTGTGTGAGAGAGAGATTATTTGAGGGTTTAAATTGTGAGAGTTGTAAACCAAGTTGTATTCTCTCCTCTCTAATAGTAGATCTCCCCCTCCTTGCCCCGTGGACGTAGGCAGTTTGCCGAACCACGTAAAAATTGATTGTTTGAGTTTGTGGCCATTGTAATAGTTTTAGGATCCCTCGACGCGCAGTCCTAGAGCTGACGAGAGGAAGAGCAAATATCCCACTTTGATGGGATATTAGGCTTTCAGATTCTTGTTCCCTTTGAGAAACAAGAATTCTTATCGATCTTTCTCTCTTATTGTGCACCAGAAACTCTGCCGAAATTTCCGCTGCGCACAACAAGTGGTATCAGAGCCCAGATTCCAGATCTAGGGTTTGGTTGTGTTAAATAGTAATTGACCAAAGAATGCAGATTATTTTATAGAAACTATTGGATCTGTAATTCCTATGTTTCTTTTTTGGTGTTTGGTGCATCTTTTTCAGGCATATTATAATTTGTACACGTTCCTTTTTCTGCATTTCAACAGAATTTACAATTTGTTAATCACTAATGCAGGTAGCATTTGTTGCAATAGGAGCAACAATGGTAGGAAGCATCACGTTCACTAGAGAAAAGGGTGACTACATCCATAAAGGAGACGAGGTTCCTCTGTACTTCTACACTAATTTTCCGTACTATCTAACCTTTAGTTTTGGATGTTAGCTAATGGCCAACCTTTTCCTTTTTCATCAGTTTGGATATTTCTCGTTTGGGGGGAGCACTGTTATATGCGTATTTGAAAAGGTTTGTCTTTTTTCCTTTACCTATGCTCAAAACAAAAAGCTTCTTACGCCTTTTTATTGATGCTTTTCGTAGATAAGATCTGATTTTCCAGGAAAACTTCACTCACATATTACTAAACGTAAGGGTCATAGATCCATATAACTGGACAGTCAGAATTTAAGAGTTCAATATATTAAACAATGGATGCAGTTTCATGTGTAGAAACCCCAAAATAATACTTAAATGTCATACTTGTGAATGGAAATTTCATCTGACGTGTGTGGATACATACTGAAAGTGAGAATACCATAGGCAGCGTGCTTCTCATGTGATCATTCTTACAATGTTTTTCCTAAAAGCCGAAAAAACCACAAATTGCAGCCAACAGGAAATCCACGTTTTGGAAACATGTATTATAGAAGACTGGATTAGTTTTATACCATTGACTATGAAGGGGAAAAAACCCAAATTTCTTTTTTAACCAGAAAATCATTTTCCTTTTTATTAGAACTTAGATCCTAAATTCGTATCCATATTAGCGTATTGCTAATGAAAGCCTAAATGGATGTTGGGTAAAAATAGTTTTCATTTAACAGCATTAAACTGACAGGGAAGTTGCATAATTGGTTGTATATTAAGCATGAGAATCCACTTTGTTATTTATGTGGAAGACTCGACTTAATCTGATCATAGGATCAAAATGGATCACAAGGTCAACATCTGAATTTTGTTTCCATACACCGATTATATGATAACGCTAAACTTTGATCCCATCTCTAGATTGTGAAAATATTTGTAGGATCCATATAATAAGTCTAAATCCTAAAAGCACTAGTAGTTAAACGCTACATATAACTTAAAATGGAACTTGGATATTTAGGTGACACACTTATGATAGAAATGGTCATTGATTCGAGGTTCACCTATAAGGTGGATTAGCTTTCTTCAGTCTAGGTTATAGGTGAATTATAATTTTAATTAAAATTTTATTTTTAAAATCCTTTTGGATACTGTTGGCATTGACTCAAAGGTATTTGGTCACCTTTTGCAGGATGCAATTCAAATAGACGAGGATCTTATTTCAAACAGTGAAAGATCCCTCGAAACGCTAGTTTATGTAGGTATGAGATTGGGTGTAGTTTCGAAGAGGGCACAGGCCGTGAAAGATATATCAAGATTGGAGCAGTGCAAGCTGGAAGAATGACGCTGTGTACTGATTGGATGGATTTTTTTTTTTTTTTTGTATAAAATAAAACTTCATAAACATTTTTCTGCAATTCCCTCTGCAGAGTAGGGGGGTGCATATTAATGTATATTGTACCGATACAGCTAAGGAGGACGATGGGAATGCGATTATTTTAACCGTAGGTTTATGTATGAAGCTAATCTACTGTCGTAATTGTTAATAGAATTGCATAAACCGTTACTTAGTCCTGTTTGTTTTTGCTTTTCAATCTGTATTTTTTGTCACCATTTCGTTCTCACTTTGCATTTCTTACGCCGAGGAAATGTTCTCGTATATTCCACAGTGTAAAAATGTAAGCAGCATCCTCATGTTGGATCCTTCTAAATTTGCTTTTTATTTGGGGGGAGGGAAAATTGATTTTTTTTAAAGGCATTTCATAGTGTTCTTGACATTTATAAATGAACACTGTCAGAAGAATATTAATTAGAGAGGCGCTACAATCACACCTTAAACCACACTTCTCTCTCGTTACAGTGCACTGGGGCTCATATGATTTTTTTTTTTTTAATTCTCATGTTGGTCCTAGCTGTAGCGGAGAGGAGTGTGGTTGAGGGTGTGGTTAAAGGTTGTGCTTCTAGCATTTTCCTATTAATTAGATACCAAATCACTTTTTTGATGGTGATTGAGATTGATCAAGGTGACAAAGAGATAGTCATCAATCAAGAAAGAGGTACAGGTTAGCTACTTGAGTCATCTCAAGACCCCTCACAGTTGTCTTTCTTGACTTCTATAGAACGTCTTAGCAAGAAAAAAATAATATTTTATTTTTTTCAATCACAATTACTCATTTCTTTTTCAACGTCTATGACTCGTCTAAATATATATTAATACGGGAGTCTTTTTGAATTGTGATCCAAAAAATTAAGTACAAACTTCGCATTATGATCGAATCATAATCATCTATTAAATAATAAACAATCATAATTAAAAATGATTGATTGCATATAAACACCTGTAGTATGATGTTATATATCGCACTTGTTGCCCGTATAGGTTCAGTTTGGTGTGAAATTTTTTTTATTCTTTTATCCTAATTATTATTAAATTATTTTTACTTTCAGGGGTCAAAGAGTCAAAAATTTTCACTCACGGGTCTATCCGCCAAAACAAAACTACACAGATAGCAAGTTCAAAAACATCTTGCGATATGGTGTCCGTGTCCAATTAAACCTTAGGAAATAATTTGATATGTTTGGTCGATTATGCAATAATTGTGAATTGGATGTGACGTGAAAAGATGAGTGGGGGCCACATTTGTTCAGCGAAAATGATGTTTCCGCGTGAAAGGCCAAGTGTGGGAGGCTAAGGCGGTTTCAAGCGTGTGGGGTCCACACAAATGTCTTGGTGAACGAAAATATGGCCAGGCCCACCCGATTCTGCTGTTCATATATATAATAATGATTCTTCCTAGGGTTGTGTGCGGAAGGAGGGTAGCAGTTTTGTTTGGGCGGCAGAGGCTGGAAGAAAAAAAGGGCAGCGTGCAAAAGTGAATTTTTGGGCGGCGTGTTATTCCGGTGACTGTTTCTTTTGAGAGAAAAACTGAGAGATATTTGTGTGTGAGAGAGAGATTATTTGAGGGTTTAAATTGTGAGAGTTGTAAACCAAGTTGTATTCTCTCCTCTCTAATAGTAGATCTCCCCCTCCTTGCCCCGTGGACGTAGGCAGTTTGCCGAACCACGTAAAAATTGATTGTTTGAGTTTGTGGCCATTGTAATAGTTTTAGGATCCCTCGACGCGCAGTCCTAGAGCTGACGAGAGGAAGAGCAAATATCCCACTTTGATGGGATATTAGGCTTTCAGATTCTTGTTCCCTTTGAGAAACAAGAATTCTTATCGATCTTTCTCTCTTATTGTGCACCAGAAACTCTGCCGAAATTTCCGCTGCGCACAACAATAATAACACTGAAAAGATTAGCATTAGACCTTCTAAGTCCAATCACCCCCACAAACTAACCTCATCTATTTAAACTTCAACTAATCAAACATTAATTACCTTGACGTGGAAGTATTTCATTGACCACCCAAATCCAAACAAAAGGAAAATAGTGAAACCTTTTGAAAATGATTATTAGAGGATTCTGATTAGATTCAGATATGTCGGCTTTAAAATAATCCACACTAATCCCAATTATTGCACACACAGTATCTCAACTTTGCTTAGTTGTACGTCCACTTGCTGATTAAGCGGCCCCAGTTAACTTAAAAAATAATTTGTTCTCAACTAAATTGAGATTAGCTGGTGGGTTGAAATTGTCGTTAGCGTCCTAAAGGAAGAAATCCTCACGTAATTACTTGTAAAATATATAGATGAAAAAAAAACGTGTATAATTTCATTTGGACCTTGATATATAATTAAAAATGTTAACTTGTTTGTTAATATTGAACTGACGATGTACATCAGGTTAATTAATTAAATTTCTTAAACTCCTCGATCCTTAAGAAGATTTCCGGTTCAAAAGAAAATACCTCCTCCATTTGTACTTCCGATGAACAATATAACAAATACAAGATAAAGTATGAGAAATATATAGGAACGTGGTACCAAGCACGAGTTTAGCGCGTCTCATTCGCATATGTTCTCCAACCCATCTGAATGTAGTCCACCATTTAAATGAGTGGATAGGAATAAATCATCGAACTACCAAGTACAAAAAAAACTTATGCTTAGTACCAAGTTCCTCCATAATATATATCTATACATATATTATTTGGACATTGCTTTTAATGTCTAGTATTACAGGCTTAGACCTGTGACCAGCCAACTCTAACTTTTGTCTTGCTAGACTATAAGATATACCTGCTGAAGCGCTTGTTTTACGAGCGATTCGATTTGAACTGTAATGTCACGTGATCACGTAAAGTGATCATAATGATTGGAGCCCTAGCAACAGCTCTAGGCTTGCGATATTTTAAAGTTTTTTTTATTACATAATGTTGTCAAGTGGGATTAACTAAACCGACACCGAACTCAAACGTCTTCAAGCTGCCGAAAGCTCGGCGCGGAACCGACAGCATCGTGGCTGCAGCCAGCGGATGCGTGGCCATCTCTACTTGGACCACCTTTTTTGCGTAAGTCCTGTCACCGCACCTCGATCCTCAGTCTCCTGTAATCCGACGCCACGTGTCGCCACGAATCGCTAGGGGAAGAAGCTGTGCGCTCGAATTCACGGAAGGACACTTACGTGTCGCGATTCTTGGGATCATGTCGCTGTTTGGATTGAGCGGGCCCTCTCTCTATCTCTATAAAGGACTTCATGCTGCCGTTAATGCAGAGGCTGAGGCCTGAAAAGAAATCACATTCAACAAAATATTTTGGGCATATATTATATAATATATTAATAATATATACTATATATATATTAGGAATTTAGGATCATGAATAAGATTGAGAGGAAGTCTTCAATAGAGAGAGAGCCTCAGACTTTGTCTCTTGATCAGATTAAATATGCAAGGGTATAGGTTTTGTTTTTATTTTTATTTTTTATATATTGTGTTAGTTATAATTATTATTTGGTTTATTTTGTCAAGTTTTTTTTTTATTGATTTTGTAATTTTTTTTTGTATAGGAGGCAGCATTGTATGTGCTCAGCAACCACAGCATACAAGAGGCTATAAGCATTTTCACTGAGGTATATATATTGCCTTGTTGCTTATTGATCTTTGATGTTCTTGCTAATATTTGCGTAAAGGTTTATAATCATTTTCCCCTAATAAAATTAAATAAATAAAAGGTTTGAAATGAATTGAATATTGAGATGATCATATTTAATTTTCCTTTTTTTTCAAAAATTTCAAAATTCAAATATGCTACAAATATACTTCGAAAGTTTGAATGATATTTGTCAATTAAAAATATATTTATTGGATTAAGAAGAGGTGTCATTTTGTTAAAGAGATACTTTTACTATAGTAAATCAAATTCGATCGGTTTTTTTTCAATAAGAATGAGATTCCTAGCTAGAAACTTTTTTTTTTGTAGTGATGACCGTGGTATGTATGTATGAATCCGTAACGATAACTTTTTAATTTGTTTGAAAATTGATTTGAACCGTTATATTAAATTTCTCAAAATATAAATATTTCACTTAAAACTAAAGTGGTTGGCTGTTCTCAGGGTTTGCAACCAGTCCTCTGCGTCAAGAAGGGCAACATGAACATGATAATGGAGCGGTCGGAGGATGAAGACGGCGGTAACTTGGATCGAATCGCTGGGTTGAGGGATACAATCACCGCTCCATTCTAAATCTCCATTTTTGTAAATTTTTATATATATATATATATATATATATATATATTTGTATTTATTTTTCCTTTTCTAGAGGTAAATAAGCTGTTTTTTTCTTAATTCCCACTGTAAATGCTGTAAATAGCTTTGGTTGTGTGTAATGGGCCTTGGGCCGAATGTGAGGGGCAATCAATTTTGATAGCTTTCTTATTGGGCTGTGGTGTTTTCCGAGAGGGCCCACATGTATTTGTTACGTCTTTGCTGTGTAGCTTTGAAGATTTTTATTTTATTTTGTTTTGTTTGTTTGTTTGAGGAAGTTTGAGTTATTAACATCATAGTTCTACATGGGGTTTTGTGGTTATTGTTGCTAAATATTTCACAATAGAAATGGAAGTGCAGAAAAGATGGGGATTGACAAACTAAGATAAAAGAGGAAATAATGAGATTAAATTTATTTTTTCAGTATATATGGGTAATAACTATATATAATTTAGTTTTTGAAAATCAATTTTCGTCTATAAATCTCTAAGTCCAACAGTAATGATTGCGAACTCAGTAACAGATTCTCAACAATAAGATTTTCAAATAGTTTAGGCATTTCCTAAAACAATGTTGACATGATTTGGAAATGGAACATGGTAGATAGGATTATATAGCTAATTTAAAAAATTACGAAATCATATTTGGGATTTCTAAATTTGCCCCCAATTCCTTCTTTTTATTAGTGGTCGGATTTATTTGTTACTAGATAGTAATCTTTGTTTAATCTAGGGTTTAGATTCTTTGATTGTTTTGTGTGGTCGAGTCAAAGCTCAATCTTGGGTTATCTTAAAAGTTCATACTCTTGAAAATTAATTTAACAAGCTCGAAGCTTTATGAGAAATTGAGAATCTTGAATAAGTTATGATCTACATATTTGTTTATGATTTTGTAATGTTTGTGTGATACCTTGGTAGGTGATACGTATATATAGGCATATGTTTTTAGGTTAATAATAATTATGAACATGATATCTATATTATCTTTTTATGCGGTCGAGTCAAAGCTCAATCTTGGGTTATGTTAAAGTTTACACTCTTGATAATTGTATTGAAGCTTAATTTATTAGAAATTGAGAATCTTGAATAAGTATAAGTTATGATCTAATATAATGGATTACGGTTTTGTCAATGTTTTTAGGATACCTTGGTAGGTTATACGTATGGGCATAATTTTTTTTTTAAATTATGAACGTGATTCAATATTGTAACAAGGACAAGGCTTGTTACAAGTTTTATTTGCATTTATCTCTATTTTTAAATTTAACTGTTTGGTCATCCCCCACATTGTTTTACCTGGAGTCAGTTACATAGTTTATCTCTTGGGTTATGTAAAAGCTCAATCTTGCATTTATCTCTCTCTCTCTCTAATAGTGAAAACTCCCCCCTTCTTGCCCCGTGTACGTAGGCAACTTGCTGAACCACGTAAAATTTATTTGTTTGTGTTTGTGTTATTATTTTTTATCTTGTATGGCCTTGTCTCGGCGTTTGCGTGGATAACCGTGAATCCCAAACATTCTAGTGCTAATGTACAAGGAGGTAACAGTTTTGAAATATTTACTTTCTCACTTTGTCAGTGTTGAATTTCATCTCATCCCTAATTTTTTTCAAGGTTGAACTTTATCTCATTCAACTATTTTGGCATTTCTCCAACTTTGAATTTCATCTCATCCTCAATTTATTCAATGTTAAACTTTATCCCATTCAACTATGTTGGCATTTTTCCAATATGTCACGAGTAGGTAGTCTAGATAAAAAAATTTATTCAATGTCAAACTTTACCAGTTTACCCCATTCAACTATTTTGGTATTTCTCCAATATATCACAAGTAGGCAGCTTAGATTAAAAAAAAAAAACTACAGAGAAGTTCATAAGCTAAAATTTTGTTTGAAAGTTTGCATGTTATCTCCACCTATAAAGGTAGGATAAACTCTTTATACTGCAGCCAACTAAGTAAGAATCTCAATGTTAAATTTCATCATATCTTTAATTTTTCCAATGTTCACTTTTATCTCATTCAATTACTTTGGCATTTCTCCAATATCTAGAGAGTTAGTAGTATACATAAAAACATCGCTGAGAAGTTCATAAGCTAGAATTTTGTTTAAAATTTCAACCTGTTATATCCACCATGCAACTAAATAAGCAAGAAGAAGACATGATTTCATACTATTTTCATTTGCATGAGGATACATGCATGATTCATACCCTTTGCATTTGACATCATGTTTCACACAAATATACAACATAACCTAATCATTTCTTGCTTGTGCTAGAAAACAAACTAAACCCAAATATCCTTTTGAATAGAGTTTGATAAGTAATATCTTGCTAATAAAATCAACATCTCACGCGAGAGAATTGTAATTGCAAATTCAAGGTCTTGTCACGCGAGAGAATTGTAATCGCAAATTCAAGGGCTTATTGCTACTCTGTACAAGGAGAAAATATTCAGCGGAAGTGATCCCCTAGTAACACTACTTTGGTGCACATTTAATGTCATGGATCATCTCTATTGGATGCTTCATTCTTTGCAAGAATAAGGGTTTGCAATAAACAAATCCAAATTTTGTTCTTTTATTTATTTATTCATCTTTTGGCCAATATCAAAAGGACATAGCTTTGCATTAAGCGCAAGTATACAGCTTCAAGCAAGTAAAACGTAAACACTCCCTAATATCTCTTCAGTTTAAATATAGTCCTTAAATCTATTAAATGACAAATATACATAGAGTAAATCAATGCTTATTAAACTCAGGACCAAGTATCAAAAACATAATATACTAAATAATATTCTTAAACAAAACAAACAACTTGAACTTTCCCTATAAATAGGTTCATTGCCTCTTCCCAATTAAAAACAAAAAGGTTATTCAACGTACTGCTGGAGAAGTTTCCCTCCTCTCTCCTAATCTCCATGTGATTTATTATTTTTACTCCATGCGAACACAAATGCAACCCATCAACCACGACGATTCTGCTGCAGGAATGAAATAACGAACATTAGTTACATATTTAAGGTCTCAAACAAGCGAATCACTCAATAGTTTGATCGATTCACTTACCTCTAGTAAATTCCGAAGCATCAGAAGTTAGAATCCAATGGTGGTAAATCCTTCCAAACATCAGTTTCTGAAGCTACATCATTTTCTACGCCTGCAAATGAACAGCTCGTAAGACTCGAAAGATAAACGCACATTTTACAATGTAAAGGTATAACTATGCCAAAAATTCTGACACTGGGAATGATACGTTAACTATGGGTCCTCATTCAAGTACTATTCTTCATATTATCAGGACTTGGAGAATCTGAATGCATCAGATGGTAATGTTACGTCATTAAATGTTAACAGTAAGGATTAACATTTAACTATGTTCTATCTCTTTTGAAGTATAGGTTCTAAGTAACCTCACACTACTTTTTACCTTCATAATCTGAAACCTGGTGCCCATTAAGAATAGAATCTAGAAACTATATATCTCAGTTTATTTCAGAATACTAATAATAGTTTTCCATGATATATATAAGCATTACCCAGATGCTAAAATTTAGCATTTGGATCAAAATAACCGAAGGATATGTAAGAATTACCTCCATACATTCTGTGCATACTCACAACCACGGAAATTAGAGGGGCATAAAACTGACTCTCTGTGATGATCAACATCTGAGGGACTGATCGCCTGATAAATTTTGACACAAGTATGAAAATGCATAATTTGAACGCGGGGAAAAAAAAGAAAAAGAAAATTGAATATAAAATGATGTTCACCAATTTTGGAACCTATGCCGTTTTTTTTTTGAATATTTTGCAGACCACATATGTCTTTAACATCTAAAGTAAGACCATACAAAAATACAGTTAAAAAGCAGCATTATATGCATAACCTGAACAGAAATTGTAGAAATTCATTCACAGAGCTCCTCTTTAAGCACCCCACAAGAAATTTGGACCTAGACAATGATTAAAATACTGCAAAAGATTGTAACTGAAATATTGTATGATTTTCTAAAAGGTTTTCTAATTTAACTAGTAAGATAGAAAACTGCCAAGGATAATGGTAGTACTGCAGGTTAAGTGCATTCGAACAAAACAGTTCCTTACTGCCAGCTAATACATCTACAGCTTCTAAACTAACAGGGGGGTATGTTCACTCATTTCCTTCTCTTACTAGAAGAATGGCCAACAAGCAATTAAAGGGTCAAAAGTTCCCACAACCATTGTTAACTATTTAAGTTTTCTTGATATTCCATTGTTAGTCCCCAGCCTTAGGTGCAATTTATTGGTTAAAGAGGTTTCAGATAAGGTGTCAGTCTGAGGACAAGGTATCAAGAGGTTTCGGTTCAGACTTAGTCCAAATTTATAATATTAATATGATTACTTAATCCACTTAGAGGCCTTCCCATGTGGTTGAAAGTCATGTGAGAGTAGATGATGTACATTATTAGTTCTATCTATTAGCTTAAGCTTTTGGATATGTTTCTGACATGTCAAGTAGTGGATAGACAAAATACTGTATGTCTGATAAATATCACAAGTAAAAACCCATATTCTTGATTGTGAGAAACAACAAATCATTTTCACCTTCCAGAAGAACAATAAAGTTATTTTAACTCAATACTTATCAGAACATACATAACTCCTCTCCATAAACTACAACAGTGTTTAAACCTATTGTAGTCTATTGTATGCTGATAAATATTTATCTACAGCCCTTGAAAATAAGTAAGTGCTATATTTCTCTTGAAGATAATTCAGTGATAATATATTTATCTAAGAGATACTTAATATTTAAGGTGCAAAGCTCATAAACTTACAGGGGAGAAGCCAGCATTAACAAATTCCTCGTTCTGAAGCCGAAATTCGTGCATTACCCAGTCTGTTCTTCCTTCACGACAAGATCTGCCTTCATAGAAGACGAGGGTCTTTTTGTGCCCTATGATACAAGGGCGACGAGTAATATGTTTATCCTTTCCACTGATCTTCCAACAACCTGAAACAGTTGAGCGATTTGTCCTGTTACCCCCAGCATACTTTCTATCTTGAGTCTTGACAGCAAAAGAAGTACCACTCAAGATCAAAAGTTAGCCTGATAGAATGTGAATGAGTTGCATGGAAATGCCCTGTGAAAATAGTAACACATAATTGCTTACTATTTATATTATAGGGAAAAAAATCTCATTAAAAATAATTCACGGTAAGGCCATAACTGTTTCTTTCTACATGCACTAATGTTTTAGTAGTTTGATATCAGTAAAGAGGGGGGAAAGGAGATAAGTTTGCCCACAAAGAGAACAGGTGTTGTATGGAACTGTGACGCTAAATTGTCCTCATATGAATAGGCTGGAGTTCAATACACCACCAGAGATTAACAACATATTAGAAAAAGGCAACAAAAACAAAAATTAGAAACAGATACCTGGGAGATCCCAAGGGGGATATTTGTACAAATCGATCTCTGAGATGATTCCAGGCTCAAGTGGCTTTCCCATGATCTTCCTTTTTAAGTAATACAACACCAGCTCAACATCAGTAGGGTGAAACCTAAACCCGGTGGCAAAGAACTCTTAGCCATTGCCAAAAGAACTCTCGTCTATGAGGTCCAAAAAGAGCTAAGTTGAAGTCGGTATTTCGTCAGACAACAACACAGTTCTTGTAATCTTATTAGTAGCAGCTATGTAAAAGAACTCTCTCAGTTTATAACTGGAATTTGTATCCTATAAGCTTGAAGTCTTACGATCCAATTCAAGTCCAGTGCCCAAACAAGAGATAACACAATTAACTCGTATAACATATATCACACTGAATGAACAATGGATATCTGCTTCTGAAATCAATACACATTTGAAGTCCAAGTAGGAACCTGTATTCAAAAGTAAAGATGCAAATTTAAGACATGCGAACTGTAACCACAAAGCTCTTGAGTAATAAGATTTAAACATTTATCCAAACTTTCTATTATGAACATAAGTTAAACTGGATAAATTGCCACAAACACTCAGAATCCAGGATGAGCGACACAAAGGACAGAATTCGATGAATTTCTCGAAAACCATGATCACAAGACCAGAATAAGCTAATGAAGAAGTCAAAAAATAGATATTTCCACATAACATATCAGAATATACAAACTAAAACTATCACAAAATATAAAATGTTTAAGTATACTACAAACCATGTAGTCTGTAGTCATAATCAAAATTTCACATATCAGAACATGTCTATTTCAAAGAATAATATTAATTCTAACATCCAAACATAAATTGTTATTCATGTTTGATTAGGAATTTTTACATGCTTCCAAATCAAGTATTACTAAATGACTGTGAATAGCATGGAAGACAAATTTACCATTGTGAAAATAGCGAAGCTGCTTATTTTAAAATTTTAAGCTCCTTAACTTTCCCATATAACAATCTGATGAATTATTGGGAGATCTTAGAAAATTGATAGAACGTCGTAGAATTGATCGAATTATCTCAACTTAAGCTTTAATCAGAAAATTTTCTTTGCCCCAAATTGAGAAAGGAACGGGGTTTCCAAATTTTTGCATGATCGCACCTTCTTCATGTTATCAAAATGCATTCAACCTCAATTAGATGGATTATACCTTGACAGTGAGTACTTCCAACAACCATCCTATAATCCACGAGCTAACTCTAACTCCTTCACTGGAAATAATATTTTATGGTCTTTTATAGAACTCTATATTTCTATATTTTATTGATGAAATCATAAAAAATCCAAACTCCCTCAAGAAAACCATTATTCTTGTCTTTGATTCCCATTTCCAATCTTATGTCACTAACATCTAAAAGAATATAGGATCGATTAAAGGAAAACAACTTACCTTCAATAGGATCTCAATCCTTTCTAGTTCTTCTTCCTTTAACCAGTTCAATTTCCTATTCTTTTTCCCCCCCTTTCTTTTCAGTATCTCTGCCTGTCACATTTCTGTTTCTTTGTTTCTTTCCTTTTTCCCCACATAGGCGGCGCAGAAGAGCATTATAGTCACATTCTAAGACCCTTAATTACCCTTTTTTCCTATAAGGCCTCCAAAAAGAATATATATAAAAACCAACATCTTCTCATGAGAATTTGCACTAATAACCTTAAATGCCAAAATCTAAGTAGTCTATCCCAAACTAATTACTCATCTTATTAAATACAATGAAAAATCTTTTTATAGATGCAATTAAATCTTTTAGCTACAAATAATGATAACAATCTCACTATAATTATCTGCTAAATGAATTTCTTTTTCCGATTGCTCCAGCGATCTCCAAATCAATTTCAACTTTCAGTAACTCCAATTTTAAAATGAACTCAGACAACTAAATTCCAAATCTAGGTCTTATCACCTAGTCCTGTATGGAATTTGTCAGTCATATGACATGGTTAATTTCTCCAAAAATATTCAATCTTTAGGGTAGTAAACAAACAAATAAAAAAATTACTAGATTGTAATGCAACCTGTTAGCCACAAAGACAACAAACTGGAAACTGTTAAGTGAATTCAATTGATAATAAACTCTCATGTCCAAGTAATATCGTCTAGTGAACAAGAGCCTTTGTGATAAATAACAGCAGCAAGTCATGACAAAAGTAGGGTGTTATTTGTATCAAAAGGAGAAACTTTAACATAAGACAATACATACATTCTCATACACATAGTTTGCTGTTCTTGTTTGAATAGATATTTACACATTGAACATAATAAAAAAACTTTCCTTACAGCTGTTATATGGCATGGTGATACGAATTAAAATGCGGAAGCGATATTTGACAAGTTAGACCTATAACTTATCAATGGCGAACGAACTCAAGACCTATTGAGATCGAACAAGTTTATACTCAAAAGACGCGTTTTGAATAAAAACTAAATTTGTTTGCTAACAAGCAAGTTTTTGTATTTCTTAAAATTTCTGAATTAATCAAAAATTACAATCTTCAAGACTATAAATAGCCTTAAGAGGACAATCGTTACAGCCAAATAAAAGACTCCTAATAAAAGACTCCTAATGACAAAATTAAACTTGCTAATTATGACCATTAATTCTAGCCATTTAAGACCTACTAAATGTAGTAATAAAACATCAAAATGAATGACAATAAACAATTCACTAAATAGGGTAATAATCACTCTTTATTGACCAAATAAAGTAGAACTAAATTGTTTTGTAGAAGCCCTGCACTCAGACGAATCCAAAGCATGTGACCAAACTTACGAACCGCGCATTCGAACTCGACAACCCTTCTGCCAACATAAGATTATGGCCCAACGAACCATGAGTAGCCTCAATCGTCTCACTACTCGCATCATCCCCTCCTTCTTCGAAAGGAATTGACCTCAATTCGGAGAGACCGTCATCATCAATGTAAGGGGACAAATCACCCACGTTAAAAGTGGCATGAACACCGTACTCTCCGGGCAACTCGATCTTATAAGCATTGTCGTTAACACGAGAAATTACCTTATACGGGCCCTCGGCTCTAGGCATGAGCTTATTTTTCCTCTTACTCGGAAACCGTTCCTTCCTTAAATGGACCCAAACCAAATCACCCTCCTTGAAAATACGAGGCTTCTTATGCTTATTGGATTTTCGTTGGTAGGCGGCATTAATCTCAACAATCCGATCACGAACTTGTTGATGAAGCTTCAACATCGATTTAAGCTTGGAATCCGCGTCCTTATGGACTAACTCATTACCAGGTATTGGAATCAAATCGAGAGGAACATATGGGTTTAGCCCATAAACCACTTCAAAGGGCGACCGACCCGTAGCATGAGTAGGAGACCGGTTGTAAGCGAATTCGGCATGAGCAAGCTTAATATCCCAATCCTTTTGTGTCTTACTCACCAACCCACGCAATAAGGTACCCAAGGTCCGGTTAGTTACCTCGGTTTGTCCATCCGTTTGCGGATGATGCGAAGTGCTAAACAACAGCTTCGTACCCACCTTTCTCCACAAAGTATTCCAGAAATAGCTCAAAAATTTCGAATCACGGTCGGAGACGATGGTCTTTGGAATACCATGCAAACGAACTACTTCCCTATAATATAAGTCCGCAACATTACAAGCATCGTCGGTCTTGTGACATGGAATGAAGTGTGCCATTTTCGAAAACCGATCCACGACCACCATAATAGCATCCTTACCCCTTTGAGTACGAGGCAAGGCAACGATGAAGTCCATAGAGACGTCTTCCCAAGGCCTCTCGGGAACCGGTAAGGGAGAATATGGACCCGGTTTGAAGGTACTCTTGGTCACTTTGCAGGTCACGCATGTTCCTACAATTTTCGTTACGTCCCCGAACATTTTCGGCCAAAAGAAATGTTCTCTCAACACTTCCATGGTCTTAGCAACACCGAAATGGCCAGCCAAGCCACCCCCATGAGCTTCACGTACCAACAATTCCCGAATTGGGTGCCTCGGAATACAAAGACGGTTTCCCTTAAATAGAAACCCATCTTGAACGACGAACTCTCCAGTAACCCCAACCAAGCCTTTGCTAAATAATTCCCCAAAATACTCATCATTCTCATAATGAGCTTTCAACATTTCGAACCCAAGTAACCAGGCATTAAGCACGGAAATTAAAGAATACCGCCACGACAACGCGTCAGCCACGATATTAGTCTTACCATCCTTGTACTTAGCAGAAAAATGAAAAGCTTGTAAGAATTCAACCCACTTGGCATGACGAGGACTCAAACTTTGCTGCCCGTTGATGTATTTCAAAGACTCATGATCGGAATGTAAAACGAAATGATTCGGACGCAAGTAATGACTCCAATACATAAGTGCTCTAACAATGGCGTAAAACTCCTTGTCATAGGTACAATACTTCAAACGAGCACCCCCCAATTTTTCCGAAAAGAAGGCCACTGGTCGATTCCTCTGTCTTAATACAGCCCCGATACCGACCCCGCTAGCATCACATTCAACCTCGAAAGGCTGAGAAAAATCGGGCAAAGCTAACACGGGTGCCTGACATAATTTCTCTTTCAATAAATCAAATGAAGCTTGGGCAGCCTCTCCCCACACAAACGCCCCCTTTTTAAGGCATTCCGTCATTGGACTCGCAATAGTACTAAAGTCTCGAATAAACCGGCGATAAAAAGAAGCAAGACCCAAAAAAGACCTTACCTCCGTGACTGAACCAGGCGATGGCCAGGTTCGTATTGCATCGACCTTGGACTGGTCGACCTCCACTCCTTCTCCTGACACCACGTAACCCAAGAACAACACTTTCTCCTCCAAGAAAGAACATTTCTCACGTTTCCCATATAGCCTTTGCTCCCTCAGTTTCTCGCAAACCATTCTAAGATGCTCAAGATGCGCCTCTAAATTCCGACTATAAACTAGAATATCGTCGAGGTAGACGACCACAAACTTGCCCAAAAATGCCTTCAATACTTCATTCATTAGGCGCATAAACGTACTCGGGGCATTAGTGAGACCAAATGGCATGACGGTCCACTCATACAACCCGTATTTAGTCTTGAAAGCGGTTTTCCACTCGTCCCCTTCACGCATACGGATTTGATAGTATCCGCTTCGTAAATCTATCTTAGAAAATATTTTAGAGCCATGGAGCTCGTCAAGCAAATCATCAAGTCGAGGAATTGGGAACCGATATTTAATCGTGATATTGTTGACCGCCCTTGAATCGACACACATTCGCCACGACCCATCCTTTTTTGGTACGAGTAAAACCGGAACCGCACAAGGACTCATACTCTCCCGAACATACCCATACTCCATTAGTTCATTAATCTGTTTTTGAAGCTCTTTAGACTCCTCTGGATTACACCTATAAGCAGCCTTGTTAGGCAATGGCGCCCCGGGAACAAGGTCAATTTGATGTTCGATCCCTCTAATAGGTGGTAAACCCGGTGGTAAAGAGTCGGGAAACACATCTGCGAATTCCCGTATCAACCCATCAACTGGACTGTCAGTCGGCAGCCCCCGGCCTAACGCTGATTCCTCCTTGGCCAAGAGGAGATAAACACACTCCCCTCGATCAATAGCTCGTTCAATATCCCGCTCCTTAATCAGCATAGTTGCCTTCTTCTTCTTAGTGCTCATAGACCGAATAGCCTGAGATGACATGGGTTTTAATACAATTTTTTTACCCTTGTCCCTCAACACGTACTCATTGCTTCTTCCCCGATGCACAACATCTCGATCAAACTGCCATGGCCTCCCTAACAAAATGTGACAAGCATCCATAGGGATTACGTCACAAAGTACCTCATCGGTATAAGAGCCCATCGACAAGCCTACTCGAGCCTGCCTAGTAACCTTCACACTATTCCCATCGTTCAACCAATGAAGCGCATAAGGTTTAGGATGCGCAACAGTGGACAAACCCAACTTGGACACCATCCCTTCCGATGCCACATTAGTACAACTCCCACCGTCTATAATTACGCTACACCACTTGCTATTGACTTGGCATTTGGTGTGGAACAATTGTTCCCGCTGATCCGAATCAAAGGACTCGGCTTGAACTTGTAAAGAACGGAGAACCAACAGAGTATCATACACAGGGGCCTCATAACCCTCCTCCTCCTCTTCTTCTTTCTCACTTTCATCAAAATTAAACACATCTCCCAATCGCTCCTCTTCCTTGGCCAACTCCTCGCGACACTCCCTAGCCTCTCTCAATGTTACCACCCTCTTGTTAGGACACGAACTTTGAAAATGTCCGAACCCCTGACACTTGAAACAACGAACCTTCGACAAACTAGTCTCCTTACCCGACTCGAAGGTCTTCGGTATGGTTTTGGTCGAATTATTTGAGTTTGGAGTAGGTGTTGTTTTTGGGGAAAAGACGGGTTTGGAATAGTTATTAGGGCTACTGTATTCTCTACTCGAACCCCCTGACTTAAACTTCCCTTGGGCCTCAATCTTAACACATAAATTGCACAAAGTATCAAAATCCGAATATGGGTATAACTCGACAGAATTGGCAATATTACGATTCAGACCACGAAGAAAACGAGACATTTTTTGTTCCTCATTTTCCTCCAATTCCCCCATTAGAATTAATTTTTCAAACTCATCTATATACTCGGCAACGCTTAATTTCTCTTGTACCAAATCCGCGATTTTACGATAAATATCCAATTTATGAGTAGCTGGTACATACCTTTTCCTCAATTTACGTTTTAAGGAATCCCACGATGCCACCTTGTCCTTTCCAGCGCGAGTTCGCTTTGCTTTCAACCCCTCGTACCAAATTGATGCTCCCTTGCTTAATCTCAGAATAGCATATTTGCATCTCTTCTCGTCGCTGAGATCTTTAAAATCGAACAAACGATCGATTTCTCCTCAAAGAGTTTTTATCTTATGCATAAGTTTTGAAGAAAAGTGCTTGTTCTTACAATCACAGAACTAAATATATGATAATCAGCTGTAAAATGAATGAAAATAAGCTAAATAATAAATAAATTAATTCTTCTACATAGAACACGTGGAAATGAAAGAAAGTTTGAATCCAATGCATATGTACATATAAAAAATGCATGTGCACGTGCATGCACATGGTAACACACAGGCACTGACCATAGGTCAGTTACTAGATATTTTGTGATACGAATTAAAATGCGGAAGCGATATTTGACAAGTTAGACCTATAACTTATCAATGGCGAACGAACTCAAGACCTATTGAGATCGAACAAGTTTATACTCAAAAGACGCGTTTTGAATAAAAACTAAATTTGTTTGCTAACAAGCAAGTTTTTGTATTTCTTAAAATTTCTGAATTAATCAAAAATTACAATCTTCAAGACTATAAATAGCCTTAAGAGGACAACCGTTACAGCCAAATAAAAGACTCCTAATAAAAGACTCCTAATGACAAAATTAAACTTGCTAATTATGACCATTAATTCTAGCCATTTAAGACCTACTAAATGTAGTAATAAAACATCAAAATGAATGACAATAAACAATTCACTAAATAGGGTAATAATCACTCTTTATTGACCAAATAAAGTGGAACTAAATTGTTTTGTAGAAGCCCTGCACTCAGACGAATCCAAAGCATGTGACCAAACTTACGAACCGCGCATTCGAACTCGACAACCCTTCTGCCAACATAAGATTATGGCCCAACGAACCATGAGTAGCCTCAATCGTCTCACTACTCGCATCACATGGAGTTTTACATGTATATGCAAATGCTATTTCTAGTATAGTTTGGACAATTCATAATGAACTAAAAGAGATGAATAAAGAAAATAACTCTATAATCAATCTACTAATTAAGCATTGAAGACAGAACACAACATACCTTGATTTCCATCATCAATGAATGCATGTTGTCTGTCCTCATTGGTTACTACTTGATTTGTTGGCTATCAATGAAAGATGAACACAAAGAACAGTGGATCACCTTGGAGGATAAGGGAATATATAACAGGACATATGAGCAAGACTATATTAGATGTTTTTGTAATCACTCAGTCAGTAGCTAAGTATTTATAGAGGAGTTTGATAACCCGTTCAAGCAATTTCTTATACTAGAACTGGACATATCTCTCCACTAAATCTTATTTTGTTGTCAATAATTAGTAAGATTAAAAGATTCCTCCAATTGTGAGCAGCTTCAGCCGCAAATTATTGAAAGTAATGTATTATAAACGTTGAATATAAAAGCATGAATATATGCGCATCTCTATAATGTGTGAACAGGAACCATTTTGATATATCTTACAATTATTTTGTATAATAAGGAAATAACATATGTAAAATGAATGTTAATGCAGTTTCATGAACCTTTTCCCAAGAATAACGTAGAGAAGAAGCAGAGTACATAAATTCAGTACATTACTAATACGAAAAGACATGCTATTATCTTTATATATATATATATATATAGAGAGAGAGAGATAAATGGAGAACCTTGGTACCAAGTTGTTTAAAACAACTTAGTAGTGATGTGGCCTAATCTTGCCCCTACATCACACCTCAAAGATAGAGCCTCAACCACCCTTCACCAACTTCAATGTAGATGTAGGGACAAGATTAGGCCACATCACTACCAAGTTGCTTGGAGCAACTTGGTACCAAGTTTCTCCATTTCTCTCTCTCTCACTCACTCTCTCTCTCTCTCTCTCTCTCTCTCTATATATATATATATATATATATATATATATATATATATATATATATATATATATATATAGTAGAATAATGGAGTGAGCGGCAGCTCACTTCCCCGTTAGTCTGCAAAGTGTATGACATTAGAGCCCTACATCACCATCGGTGTGGGCTCACATTTAATACAACTTACAGCCACGGGAAGAAACTGCCACTCACCTCCATCTATTCTCTCTCTCCTCTCTACATCTCTCTCTCTCTCTTCTCTATAATATATATATATACATATATATATATATTATTACTATATATATTATTATAATATATATATATAGAAAAGTGAATCTAAGTGACCACTCGAGTGCCTAGGCTCCCACCTAAGGACGTCGCTTAGGAATCACATCATTTTTATTTTTTTGCGATCCGCTCCGTTGATACTGATCCACAAGTTTTTAAAACCCAAACACAGCCGCAAATTTTTAAGGGTGAGCCCGTGTGTTTGATACTTATCCACTTCGCTATAATAACAGTTTCGAAGAACTAGAACTTTTTGCAGCCGGGCTGCAACGAATCGCAAATACATAACGGTTCACCCTAAAATGGTGTGTGGTTAAGAACTGTAATCAAGTTCTAACGGACGCGCATCGCAAAAAAAATGTTAGGTAATATGAGATTCTAGCGCGTCATTAGTGGAGCCTGCGCCACCATAGATTCACTTCCTATCTATATATATATATTTATATATATATAATATTAGTATATATATAGTATAACCTTACTTATATGTATCTATATAGTAATTTCATTAACATCAACAGGATTTATCACTTCATAATCGCAAGGAATCTAGCTGGCTAATTAGAATAGTTGAATTAAGTATATAAAGATTATTATACTTCACATTTAATCTTAAGCTATATTTTCCAATAAGGTAAAGCTGAAGTAGTTATAATCACTTCTTTTTCCATGAAGATCTAAATCTACTAATATGCCCATTCTTACTATTAATGAGAACCATCAATATCAAAACATAAAAGTGTATATTACAGATAAACTGAATATAAGAACTAAAAAAGCATATCATCCTTAAATTTTAGACAAGTTCAAAAAACCTCTTCATTTCCTTTATATATGAATTTTATTTTTTACTAAAATTATCCAAATCAGAATTATTACAGTATTATATTGCTAACAACCCAATCATTGATTTTTTATGGGAAAAATTACAAAATAGACCGTTTTTGCTAATTATTTAGCAAAATAGACCGTTTTACTAAATAATTAGCAAAATAGACCTCTTTTTGGCCAACAGGTCAAAAAAAGGTCTATTTTGCAAAACAGCTCAGAAAACATACGGGATTAGTAGTCCCGTATGTTTTAATCACGGATTAGTAAAATTTTCTACTCAGAAAACATACGGGACTACTAGTCCCGTATGTTTTCTAAGACACTAATCCGTGATTAGTTGGCTCTAAACATACGGGACTAGTAGTCCCGTATGTTTTCTGAGCCTTGTTTTTCAAAATCGACCTCTTTTTTTCAAAAAAGGTCTATTTTGCTAATTATTTTTCAAAGTGGTCTATTTCGCTATATATTTCATAAAAATGGTCTATTTTGTAAATTTTCCCATTTTTTATGCAAGTAATATGAGTTAAACTCTCCAAAGAAAAAAAATTAAGCCACTCAAATGGCAACTTATTACTTAAATGAAACTTTATATATTTTAATATATGAACCCACAACACAATTTAATTGTAAATGCAAAATTCCAGAACATTTGACATGCAATTTTACAAAGTGCAAAGAGCCAAAAGTAGAACTTCTGTGCCATTACTAATTTCAGAAAATGGATTATGATCATAAGGTGCATTTTTAATTTGAGTGGAACTTCTGAGGAAAATTATTGCTGTAAAATTAAATCCACCAAACTGCATTTTTGTAGGTGGGTGTTGCTTGATCTTTTTCTGTTCAGTTGTTTCTTTTTTTGGTTGGCATTTGCCATTGTACTATTTACCTTTTTTCCACAGTGCCCCGGGGGTGAGGGGGGTGTTGGCAGCTACACTAAGGCCCTCTAAGTGAACAGCATAATATTTGTTGAAGGATCAAAAACCCTAATCAATTGAGTCATTAAGATAGTTAAGAATACATATATATATGCATACAAAGAGGAGTATGGTTAACGGGTCACAACCCATTAACCCAATACCCAATAAACTTATTCTAACACTCCCCCTCAAGCTGGAGCATAGATATCCATCATGCCCAGCTTGTCACATATAGTAGAAAACACCTTTGAAGAAGTAGCCTTGGTAAGAATATCAGCAAGTTGTTGTGAGGATGGAGTGAATATGAGAGACACTATCTTCTTCTCCCAAGCATCTCTGACAAAATTACAGTCAACTTCAATATGTTTTGTCCTCTCATGAAACACAGGATTCTGTGCAATATAAATGGCAGACTGGTTGTCACAATGCATTGGCATGGGTCCAGGCTGATCAAAACCAAGTTCTGTCATAAACTTTCGTAGCCAAACCATCTCACAAGCAGTGTGAGCCATTGCTCTATATTCGGCCTCTGCACTAGATCGTGATACTACATCTTGTTTCTTACTTCTCCAAGTCACAAGATTACCTCCAACAAAAGTACAAAATCCTGAGGTTGACTTTCGTACTACATCTTGTTTTTTACTTCTCCAAGTCACAAGATTACCTCCAACAAACGTACAGAATCCTGAGGTTGACTTTCGGTCTCCCATATCTCCTGCGTAGCCAGCATCAGAGAAAGCAGAAATGTGAGTATGCCCATGCTTCTTATATAGCAATCCCTTACCAGGACAACTCTTGACATATGCCAAAATCTTTAGAGCAGCTGTCCAATGAACCTCTCTAGGTTTGTGCATAAATCTGCTCAGTACACCTACTGCAAATGTAATATCAGGTCTGGTAACTGTTAAATAGATTAGCTTCCCAATCAGTCTCCTATATCGTCCAGCATCATCCAGTAAAGAAGTATCATCACGCCACAAATCAACATTTGCCTCCATTGGAGTGCTTGCAGATTTGCATTCCAAGAGACCTGCTTCTTCTAGTAAATCTAGCACATACTTCCTTTAGGACAACAACAGGCCATGTTTTTGATATGCAACTTCAATTCCAAGAAGACTTGGGGCTTCCACAATGCCTTGTGATTAAAATGAGGTTTAGATATCTTAGTTTTCATCACGCCACAAATCAACATTTGCCTCCATTGGAGTGCTTGCAGGTTTGCATCCCAAGAGATCTGTTTCTTCTAATAAATCTAGCACATACTTCCTTTGGGATAACAACAGGCCATGCTTTTGATATGCAACTTCAATCCCAAGAAAATACTTGGGCTTTCCCATGTCCTTGGTGATAAAATGACGGTTTAGATACTCCTTAGTTTCTGCTAAGGCAACAGAATCACTCCCAGTCAGTAGAATATCATCAACATATACTGCTAAAATAACCAAGCCAGTTGTTGTACGTCGAAGAAAGACAGAGTGATCAGACTGGCAACGTTGGAAACCAACACTAGAAATAACATTGCTGAATTTATCAAACCAAGCTCGTGGACTTTGTTTTAACCCATAAATGGCCTTCCTCAGCCTGCAGATAATATTCTCCCCCTGAGCAACATACCCAGGAGGTTGCTCCATATAAACCTCCTCGTCCAAATCACCATAAAGGAAAGCATTCTTCACATCTAGTTGGTGCATCGCCCAATCCATATTAACAGCTAAAGAGAAAAGAATTCTGATGGAGTTGAGACGCGCAACAGGAGAAAAAGTCTCAAAATAGTCGATGCCATATGTCTGAGTATAACCTTTAGCAACCAGGCGAGCTTTATA